CACAGAAATTCCGGCTTCTTTTGTTGACTCCAGAGCCCTAATCATCGCTTGTCACGTAGGCAATTTTAGCCAAACTCTATTATCAATTTTTGTGTTCTTTTTCTTTCTCGTCTTTTATTTATTTGTGTTGACTTATTTTTCGTTTGGAATAGTGCTTGCCATATTTGTTGTAGGGGTATTTTTGTCCGATGCGATTATTGTTCTACCCAAACAGTCATCCGTAACTTTATTATCTTTTCATAGGTATGATCTCAGTTAATATCCTCGAATATATAATACAGATTGCGCCAATCCACCAATAGCTTTCAATTCTCCCTTTTGTATATTTCAATCAAGCATCTGATTTGTAATCCATGTAAAGAGATAGGATTTTTTTTTTTTTTTTTNGTATTTTTTTTTTTTTTTTTTTTTTTTGGTCCACCTCAAGAGAACCCAGCTTAATCCATTAAGTCGATTTGAAGGGACACAATCTTCACAACTCGTAATATTTCAGACTATACATCATGGGATTGGAAAGAAAATTTTAAGTTTCAAAAATTCATTATGACTTTTTTAGATAGAAATCACGTATTAAAGACTATACATTACAATGTTGATAATTGAGATGAAACCTAACCCCCACCACATGAAAACACGCTTTTAAGCTTTTGGAAGGTGAAAGTTTGACTCATGCCAAATATTTGGTTTAAGCATATTTCAGTTATCACATTAGCTAAAGACCAAACAAAAGCCTGACTTTAATAAAGCATGCATGTGATTATTTATCCTCACAAAAAGGTGAAAAATACATTTATATTTCCTTTCATTGTGTTAAATAATATGGGAGCTATAAACTAATAATGATTACATGTGAAAGAACTTTGAGTTAAATTAATCACAAAAATCTTTCGAAAGTAACACTACAATAAAATGATCAAATTCCAACGGAAAGTTTCAATACAAATATATTTTAATGGAATTTCAATGGATATTCTAAAAAGAATATTCCGTTGCAATGAGTTTTTCATTGGAATTTCCGTTGGATTTTGAAGATTCCAATGAAAAATTTTTCAACGGAGGTGGAAATAAAAGTTCCAACGAAAATTTTTTCGGTAAAAAACCGTTGAAAAAAATAACCGTTAGAATCATCAATTCCATCTAAAATTCCAATAGAAAATTCATTCCAACTGAATATTTTCGTTGGAATTTCCGTTAAAATGATTCCAACAGAAGTTATACCATTGAAATATTCGTTGGAATATATTATTGTAGGATTTTTCGTTGGAATATAATACTTTTTTTTAGTCTAACATCGTTTTCTGAAAAAAATATTAATTAAAGATATATATTAGCAAGTTGGAATAAAGAAAAAAAAATCACAAGCTCTTAAAAACGGAAAAAACAAAAAGTCACGAGTAAGATTTGTTTTACAATTTCAAACTTAAAGGGTTGACCGTCGACATCAGGGGCGGATTTAGATGGTGCTTAGGCCCACACTAAAAAAAAATTACTAGGTTAGATATTAAGACTTAAAAAATAGCTTAATAATTCATTAATAAAAGATTATTAAAATTTAAGAAATAATACCCTAGTGAGCACAAAATAAAAATAAAAAAAGAGGGAGATAATAGGAAAAGAAAATACTTTTTTTTTTGTGGATATAAATCTAATACTTTCTTTTTATTAGATTTGAATGAAAAAAAATAAATGTTTTTTTTTTATATTATTAGCATTCTTGTAGTTAATTGATTTTTATTTTTTAATTATTTAAAAAATTAATATTATTATTTTAATTTATGTGTGAATGATAACTTAATTTGTAGTGCCCTTAAAAGTTTGATATATTAGATAAACCATTTTATACATTGTAATTTATTTTCAATATCAAATTATGGAGAAATGTTATTATAAAATTTCTCGACAAAAAAGTGCATTTAAAAGTGTTTTAAAATGTATTACTTTCATTCTAAGTGTACTTGAGGTGAAATCTAGTATTGTTTGGTCGAAATAAAATGTGATTACAAATTCAATGATGTTATTATATACAGATAGTTCTTGTATTTAAAATAAAACTATATTTGGCCCGCACTCAGTTTATGAGCTAGATCCGTCCCTAACCATCGTTTCTAGAAATATGTGAGTTATTAGTTTTTATTACTGTTGGTAAATTATTCGAGCTTAACTGAGTTGGGACTCCTAATACTCAAGTATGGGCGCGAGTCTTTAACAACTTGAGTTCGGCTCATTAAATTAAAGAATAGATAAACGAACTCGAGTTTGGCGAGTCGATATATAATTAGAGCGAACGAACCTTGAACACGATGAATTGAGCAGTTGAATTTAATTAATCAAACTAGGTTCATATATGATTTGTATTGTTTAAGACCTCTATTCATGACTAACAAAATTTGTTGTAAGAAATAGGGGCAAAACGGGTGCGATCTTACGCAAATGAAGCGCACCATAACAGAGAAAAACTCAGATGAAGTCCAAGTGAGGAGGAGTAGCCTTTTAGTCTTATAAATTAAGCTTAATTTTTATATATAAACGATGTGAGACAACTCACAAATAAATATTCTATCACAAATAAATATTCTAGTACTTGATTTAAAAAAAAAAAAAATGTATAACGGGGTAGTTTAGAAATTATTGATAATAAGTTTGAAACTTGAAAAGAACATTCATCGAAAATCTCACATTCCATCAATCGCTTCACTGACTTAGGGACGCATAGGAAATTGTACCTTGCTCTGACTACCACACCAAACTATTTAATTTCCCCATATTATAGTACTATTGAATTATTATTATTATTATTATTTNAGTTGGAGAAAGAAATGGAAGGACCAGAATTTCAGACTAGTTCACTATCTAGATCTAACTGGGAGGCCCTATGTAAGATAAATAATTTATCATTGAATTAATTTATTCATTGTAGATATGAAAAAAAAAATAATAAAGAGACAGATGCATATACCAAAAATTATGTTTGTTTTTATTATTTTTTTAATTGAAATTGTGATGAATATATATTGAATAGTTTTGGAAATAGTTTACTTATTTATTTTTATCAATACACTTTAAAATTAAAAATTAATAATCGCTACACATTTTAACAAAATATCATTTATATAATCATATATTTTTTAATATAAATTATTATTAATTACTAATAAAAAAATGATTGGTCGCTTTGCTTGATAAGGATATCATATAGAAGTATTAGTTTTAATCACTTCAAATTTGGCAATACATAAACAAGTAATTAATCGTAATTAATAGCATATCAAATAATTAATTTAATCAAAACCCTACCGCATAGCAAGTGGAAGCAATGTGGTAAACACTATTTCCTCCTATTTTTAATAAGTGTCGTCTTGAGAAGTTGCACAGTAATTAAGAATTTTTTGTTTGCCAATAATAACCCTCATTCAAAATGTCATTTATTAAATTGATTGTTGATAAAGCGAGAATGACATTTAAAAAAAAATAGGAGGTAGTACTAAACTACACTAAATAATTAACCATAGTTAGGAGTGGTAAATGAAACTTGTGAGCTCTGCCCCGTTCATTCATTCCAAACTAATTTAAAACTCGTTAGACTTACCAAAAAAAAAAGAGATTGTAATGCAATTTTCTGAACTTGTAACATAATTTAACTCATTAAATTAATGAGTCGATTGAGCTTGACTCGTTTACACATCTAAGTACCTACATCAAGCTAATTACTAATTAATATTTTTACTGAAACGTTCTCAATGTGGGAAACAAGCCCGGCCCATGCACGATTTTT